AAAACGTAAGCTGAAAGTCAAATAGCAATTTTATCAATGTGCGGATGGACACACAACATACGGACTGAATGTATAAACTTCTCAGGGCTTTCAAAAGTGCTCACTTTACCAAGAACAGCCTACAGCAATATATTTCGTAAACGCTAATTTCATACGTATTCATACCTAGTGGATTTTTGTCATAAAATTCTGATTTTACAAACTTTACTCGACTTCTCAAGACAGATTTTCACTACCAAACATCAAAAACCATAAATGTACCAATACTGTAAATATTATATGTGTATATAATATAATTAGAATTTCGATATTTCCTTCACTTGAACATAAAATTTCGATGAAGATGTAAAAGTAAATTTTCGAAAATTTTCCTTGTTTTTCATCTTCTTCAGATTGCTGTAGTTTTCTTTGCTGGTTAAATACTCCGAATTTTTTCTAAGCCTCAGCAATTATCGTTTAAAATGTGATAATTTACACAACACAACAATCACGACTTCAGTAAAGTAAAATTGCTTTTATTTTGCCATAATCAGCACTCTAACTCTGAATGAGTGAGAATTTCACTGTTTCAATCTGTCAACAGTACCTGACTGATTCAACACTCACTTCAGTGAATTTAACTGATGAATCAGTGGAAAATGCTATATTTCCTTCACTTATTAATTCAATGACATTTTCCACTGATTAATCAATAATTTGTTTCTATGTTTTTCAGTAGTTTGTTTTTTGACTGATGGATCAGTTAAACAGCGTTTAAAAATGGCTGTCAAACCGCTTTAAAAATGGCCGTTAAACTACTATATCAAGTGAAATAACAACGAATAAACGAATAAACTAATAATACCAATACAAAATACTTTCTCAAATTTGTTTCGTCTTTCAAAGTACCATTTAACGAGGTAATATGAACATTAAGCATTTCATTCCGTTTTTTCGTCTTTCATTTTGTTTTCCTGTAATCATTAGAGCGCTCTGTTTAAAGGTTTAATGTGGTGAAGAGAATGCACTCATTAATACTATTCGTTTTAACAATCCTAATGGCGCCAATTAATCCAAAAACTAAAAGTAAGGGAATACAATTTAAATCGTCATGGTTTCGTTAAGACATATATTTCCCTGTATTTTTTAACCTGACTTGGTAGTGCAGATGGTAATGTAGCGGCCTAAAAGCGTAGTGGCCGAGCAGCGGCGGAGTAAACATCGCGTCCGGTGTGCGGAGTTCTGTCGCCCCGCGCTCTTAAACGTGGCTCTGCTTTCTTATGTGGCACGTAATGGCTGTTTATAACTCTTTTTTATTTTAAGAAAATGTTTATTTCCAGAATATCTTTGTCTAAAAGTAATGATACGCGGGTACCAGCACAGTACAATAGACGAACAGTGGTTGTTAAAAAAAAATAAAAAAAACAAAAAATAAGAAAAAGCGAAATGGGGAGGGTGTGGGGGTTCAATCATGGCCGCCCCCAAATTTTTTTATCTTTTTTAATTACATTAAATTGCTCAATATAAATAGTAAACTAACGTTAATATGTTTATTTCACTAGTTCTTTTGCTGAATTAAAAAAAAAATACAATATTAAATTCGCCACTGCCGTCGGCCGTCACATATTCGATCAATGAAATTGTTTCACGTGACTTATTAATCTAAGTGGAGCCATTTAAACTGATTCGAGCAGTTGAATTTCACTACGAATCAGTGGATTTCCACTGATTCAAATTTAGAGTGTATATACATCCATAAAAATTGATAATAGCATAGCAGCACATTATACATTTACTTCCATGTCACACAACGGCACAGCACACTACGAGCGAGTTGACGTACAACTGCAGCTATACTAGGTGTGTGTCGATCGTGGTGGCGTTTTGAGCGAAACAAACGAGTCCATTAATCTTTGAAAGGAGTGTCTTCTGCTTCTCATGGAACTAAGGGAAACGGGAGTCATATTCACTGCCTCAGCGACAACTCCCCCCCCCCTCCCACAATCCAACAATCCTCCATTTTTCATAAGACAACTAAATGCTGTTGACGATAAAGTAAGCACTTTACAAATGAACCTTAGGAAAAAATTACTGTCGCTGCATGCACGCATATTTTAATGAGCGCTCTGAGTTAAATTCGCCTAGTAAAGTTGGTAACGATAGATGGAAAATAGTTCCATTATTTAATATCGAATAAAAAGTGTTAGGCAACCATTTGTAATACCTTAAAATTATTTCTTTCGCTTTCTGTTTTTTTTTTCTTAATGCAGCGAAACCTAAAAATTAGCAGATTTGTAGAGTATTTACTTTGTTAATAATTTCACAGTTTCAATTGACCGTCGCATGAATAAAGTAATGAAGCCCATGGCAATGTTAATTTTACATAAGATGGAGGAATACACAGCGTGTATACAAATAGATCTTAAGAAGGGTTTTCAAAAATGATCTCTTTACAGTGAACAGCCTATACCATATATGCTAAATGTTAAAAGTGTGAATATGATGGGTTTTAAAAATACCTTTTACTAAGATTATGCTAATACTAGCGACCCGCCCCGGCTTCGCACGGGTGCAATTAAGATAAAAAAACTGCTTAACCCGGCGTTAATTAGGTTGGGTAAACTCTCCTAAAGCATTACAAAAATCACATTATAATTTAATAATTAATTAAATAATTTATAATTTAAGGTTTTTTTGCTATTTTTTATTTTATATTTTTTTATTTTTTTATAATTTTTCGTATTAATATACATTATGCAATTTATCTGAGATAGAAGTATTTAATATGTTATTGGCTAAGACATTCTCTGTAGACAATGTTTGACGTCCTGTTATTGTTTGGTATCAAAATGTACTGTTTCTCGGGACTTCCAACTCGTGATAAACCAACATATAGTTGGCCATGGGAAAAACACTCTTTTCGTAGGTCGATTCCAACCAAAGAGAAAGCTTGACCCTGGGACACATTAATAGTAATCGCGAACGATGTTTTTACGGGAAATTGCAACCGTTTGAAAGATATTGGCAAATCCGTGGGAATCATGGGAATCCTCGGGATGTTTGCCAGCTGGCCGGCTGCTGGACCGGTGAGGATGGTCGCGACAATCAAATTTTCTTTCAAGTCTTTAATGAGCAATCTTGTGCCATTACACATGTTAGGAGGGCTTATATTCCTTAAAAGCATGATAGGAATACCGACTTTTAATGATAGTTCGTGAGGTGGCAAGCCAGAAGAATTAAGCAAATTTAGAAAATCTTGAGGAAAGTGGACAACATCGTCAACATTGGTGACTGTGTCAATCGACTTATAGGTTTTGACTTCGCCGGGAACTCTTTGTATAATGAGATTGTTGATTTCATTGACAGTGTCGTTCCTAGGCGATACTATTGCCCTAGAACACAACCAGTGAAAGTCTCTTTCTAGTAAATTTTCGAGGCCCGGTTATACTGCTTCTATAAGATGCTGCAGACTGGGGACTATCTGACCTAATGTCTCATTTAAAATGATTTCAGCAGAATTAGTGCCCAAATTTAGAGAAGGAAAAACTCCTTCTCCAAGTCTGAGCAATTGTTGTGGGAAATCTTTATGCGTGTCTCCACCAAGATAGGCTCTCATATTCGTTCGCAAATTTAGGTGTTGAATATAACTCCATAAGGGAGATGATTTAAGACATGCTTTTATGATATCTGCACGCGTCCCTTTTGTAATTACAGGGAGTGTCTGCCGAAAATCCCCAGCAAACACAAAAGTAACTCCCCCCATAATGGCAGTAGAGCTTCTAAGGTTGGCGCCGTACGCAGCACACAGCACGTTTTATTTTCCGAATCTGTCCGTCCTGCAAAGCCGTAGTACATTATTTTGTTCTATCATCAATAGTTTTTCGCAGCGCACGCAATGTAAGGAATTTTATAGGTCATTTATTTACACTTTGGGTTACATTATTGAAGTTTTAGTAGGGATCCCTATTGATTTTTAAAATAAAATATAGCCTATGACACTCAGTGATAACGTAGCATTCTACTGGTGAAAGAATTTTTAAAATCGGATGAGTAGTTTCGAAGATTACCTTCTACATGCAAACACACAAACACACAAAGTTGCAAACACTACCTCTTTATATTATTAGTATAGATTGTTGGATATTATAATTTTTAAAATCTTTCAAAAAATTTTACCAGTAAATTTTTTCCTATGTTTTTTTTTATGTTCACTTATTGTACTGAAACTGTCTTATTACGCCTTAGACGATACATTTTGCTTCGCGCCCAACACAATTACCTACTTCACCTACGTCAAGGAGCAGCCCTGCATTTCAATGTTCTTATCGATTACACCACACTAACTCTACGCGAGGAGTGAAGTAATAGAAAATAATTACTAACTTTACAATTAACAACACTAAGTTATATTGATTACCGTATTAATGATATATTTTACTACTTTTAAATTGTGTTTAACTATAATCACAATTATTTTTTTCAGTTTCGTTGGTAGGCATTATGTCACGTCCAGAGTCGAAAAAATTATGTGTGCTGTCTCGAGCTTTATGAATATGTAATGTACGTCTGATATTAAAAAGCCACAAGAGTTACACAACGTATCGTTCGACTCACTGATCTAAATTATGATCATGGTTGAGAGTAGACAGATATAACTTCAGAGTACCATACCGTTCTGTATTCATCACGTATGCATACCTTCGATAGCATTCAGTATGAATTTACGAATACCGGGTAAAGAGGTTGGTCTTAAGGATAATCTATTCGCGGTAAAGTGAGCACTTTTGAAAGTTCTCTCATTTGGAATAGTAGCCAATAATTATATTTTATTGTAACCTTAGACGTTAAATTCCGAGTGCGGTGGAATATACAGACTCTATTCATTACTTGTATGGCAATATTTATTTTAAAGGTTATTACAGGATAAAAAAATAGCTAAAAGGAAGAAGTAACTAGGGCCTCAAAAGTTCTCACTTTACCGTGAACTGCCTTTACAAATATAACTTCTAGCTAAGTAAGTCGTCAGGTTGGTCGGGCGGTCTAAGTCGCCAGACTCGAGAGTAATTTTATGCCTGCATTTGCAGATATGGTTGTTCTGGTCCACGCTGTGGGCGTGGGTTCGAATCCCACTCTTTACAAAGTTTTTCAGCTCCCTCTCCTGTTATCCTAAGTGAATGTGAATTGTAAATACTCACTGGTTCACAAACTTTCTAGTGTAAGTAGTTGAGATTTAAACTGTCGTTCTTAAATCCATATAAGTTAGTTACGAATTTGGCTTAATGGACGAAAAATATTTCGTAATATTCAAGTTCAAATTTGAACAAAAGTATTTCATATAAGTGTAGCAACTCTATACATATTTAAATTACCCATGATTTTGGAAGATGTGTAGTGTTAGAATATACACATACATATATAACTTATATATATATTCATGGCAATGATTTAACTGCATTAAATTCAAAATTTAACCGGACCTTCTCATTTCCTATGATAACTAGAATATATTTTGTTGCCAACATAGGCAGAGGAGAAAATCCAAAATTCTGAACGTGAGAATTTATTCAGCTCGTTTTGCATCCGACTTATCGTGTATCAACTGACGGAAAACTTGAATTAGAACTAAGCTAATGCCGCCAGAAAAGTACCCATATTTCACGTTTGTAAAATACTTCGCAAAGGCCATTGATGGCGGAATGCGTGAAATTTGAATGAGAACTCTAATGGTTACATCTGTACATCATCGCGTCTGTAGTTTTTTTTTTAATCTACTTCCAATTTTTATTTGCCTTCCCTTTTGCTTTCTATCGTTTATTTGGTTATAAAAATACCTTAGTAGTCTTGAAAATTTTGCTATAATGTTTCCGATGTAAATATTTCGTTGTAGCATTATGTTTATTGTCCCTTGCTGTTTGCAGTTTAAGGCACCTCCCTCCCTATATGTCACGTGCTTCACATTGGAAGCTGTTGGGTAATTTTGTTGTAGAATGTAATAGTAAAGTAAATAACTTTCCCTTGCTGTTTGCAGTTTAAGGCACCCCCCTCCCTAGATGTCACGTGCGTCACATTGGAAGCTGTTGGGTAATTTTTTTTTAACTATGGAATATTTCAATGTATTTTTGTATGACAAAAATAAAAGTCGATATTTTGTTGTTAATTTATTAATTTGGTTATTGTAACATCAATGTGGTCTTTTTAAAATGTCAAAGTCGGCGATAATGACCCTTAGTACAGGCTATTGATGGTAAAGTGAGCACTTTTGAAAGCCGACTCATTTGGAATAATAGTCAATAGATATACTTTTTTTTAGCAATGGACGTTCCAAGTGCGGTGGAATATACACACTGTGTTTATTACTTGCATTGCAATATTTATTTATAAAAATGTATGAAGGATAAAAAATGGCCTAAAGGAAAAAGTAACTAAGACTTCAAAAATGCTCACTTTACCGTGAACAGCCTATAGCTGTTTGTTAAAGACTGTTCACTATAAAGTGAGCACTTTTGGAATCAACTTTAGAAAAAAGTCACTGTCCCTGCCTGCATACATTATAACGGACGCATTGAGTGACATGCGCCCAGTAAAGTTGGTAACGATGGATGGAAAGTAGTTCCATATATTAACGTCAAATATAATAGGTTCTGGTAACCACTTGTAATAACGTAAATTTTTTTTTTTCACTTTTTGTTTTTTTTTAATGCATCCAAATGTAAAAATTAGTGCATTTGTGAACTATTTACTTTCCTTATAATTTCACAGTTTCACTTGACGGAAGTATCAATAAAGCGATGAAATCCATGGCAATGTTAATTTTACAGTACGTAAGGCGGAAAAACACATAACAGTGCACACAAGTATATCTTGAGCAGGGCTCTCAAAAATGCTCATTTTACCGTGAGCAACCTATAATGATATTTATTCTTCTCTAAGACAGTGTTTTAAATTATAGCGACAATGCTGTATCTTTTCTGAATAGATATTTGTATTAAAACCCAACAGCCGCTGCTTAAAATTCTGAGGAAACAAAATGAACGCCTAGTTGGTTTATGCTATTTTCAATCGCTGTCGCAATAATTCCTTACGGCTACGTTAAGGCGTTTATATTTTTTATGCTAGGCAGGCCCCTTAATGGAGAATTAAAGGGAAAAAAACATGCATATCGTACTGTAGATATAACTACAAGAGCATAAATGGTACAAGTTTATCGTTCGCAAATTACGAGCACTAACACGAAAATCTTAAAGAAAAATGTTTGGTTACATAGCATCAAAAATTTTCCCCAAGACTCTGAATCATGGATTGTTTCCAGTTCTTTTCTGTTTATAGGAAATCAATGAAGTTAGAGATTATTGCACAAAAAATCGGGCAAACAAGGAATAATAACTAACTCCAATTGTGAGTATTGGGTATAACAAAGGTGTCAATGATGTTAAAATTAATTTGACTCTGTTCCACGTTTTAACGTATAAAATACAGTTTGCTTTCCTCATATTCCAATGTGGTGAGCTGTTTCCCTCTTGAACATATAATATAATACTCGGTAATCGTCTTCGTGAAGATTTCGATACCAACGCGAAGTCCTCCAAAAGGGAACGTAGAATGAATATATGATCCAGTTGTAGGAAGTCACAGAAACGTACGTACCTTTCAAGCATAAGCGGTTATTCGATTAATACGTATAATATTTTGATTCATATCCATGCTCGAACCAAACAAGTGCTAGACGCACGTATTTGATACAACTTGGCCATCTGCATATTCATTTACAGTATGTGGTTACGTCAGTATGTCGTGCGCGTAATAAAGTTCTGCTAGCCAACAGGAAACGCTTGTCATTCTTGAGTGGGTGGTCCCTCCTCTGACTGCTACTGAGCAACCACTCATTTACTCCAGACCAAGGGCACGCTGATAGAAACTTCTCGCCGACAAGTACGAGTTGTGTGGTCACGTGACCATCACTTGGTGACGTTTACGACTCTCGTGGGTCGTAGCTGCGTCCACTCTGGCGCCACGCCACGCAGACACTTGATTGGCTAATCCTTTACCACCTCCTATATTTCAAAACGTTATAGCTCCGCGCAGCTACGAGATGCGAAACCAACTTTCATGCTCTTCGTTTCATTTTTTCTTCTTTTTGTCTTCAAGCATGGAGCAAGATGAGATACATTAAAATAAAATGTAAATTTTTTATATTAAGATCAAACACAGAATCTCTACCTGGACCTGCCAAGATTGTGATGGGGCGAAGTGTGTTTTTTTTTTTTTTTTTTCCCCAGAAGAACACGATTTAATTTGAGGCCGCTCTTAGAACCAATAACAACATTAACATTGCACATGTATGCCGAATTTTCGCTACTCTCTCCTATTTCCCATAGTATCATATTGCTTTAGTATTACTGAGCAGCCCCGTGGCGAATCCCCATTAGCGCCCTGGCACCGGTCGTGTTATTGCGGCACCAGTGGCCTAACACACCGAGAAAAATATTTTGTTGATTCGAACGAAAGTTTGTTTCGTGCAACCAAATTAACTGTTCGAATAGGTAGGGGTAATAAACTATGTTATTGTTGAAACCAAATTATTTTGTTATTCTTATTTGGTTGTCCGAACAAAGATTTTGTTGGTGCAAGTTTGGCTATATATAAATTCAACAGTTTCGGTTAGTATAAATCCGAACTGGGATTTGAACCCAGATCGTTTGCGTCCGAGCGCAATGCCATAGCAACCTCAGATCAGATGTTTCTAAATGCAGTATACACATTTCAAATACTGGACAACGTCCGCAAATAAATATTTCAAGTTATACAGCTATACATTATATTTTCCTGTTGAACTTGTTTTATTAGGATGTTTATACCATTATTAAGCAACAGTAAATTAACTTACAAACATTAATATTATCCTAATAGTGACAAAATATGAAAATAAATTCTCGAGCTGTATTTTCTAGCGATGGTAATCAAACATAGGCGTATGGTGAACTGTTGCGAGGTAAGCTGGCGTTAGCTGTGTGCTGTACCCTGTTGCTTGCTAGTTTACACTTCCACCATTAAAACGTAGCTCGGCAGCTGACGCCACAGGACGCGTGTAATGCCCCCCCCCCCCCCTTGCTGGTCACTTGTGAGTGGCCAGAACGCATTCAGTTTCCCTAGACTGCACGATGGTTACTATAATCCGTCTCACGCTAAGATTGCAGTACAGGGCTTATGGCGCTCACTGTTGCCAGATTGCTTCTGCTTTGTGACGTAACTGGCAAGCTGAGAAACAAATGGGCGGTGAAGGAAACGGCCTTATTAAGATCATTTTTGTCTGTTTACCTCCCTGTCAACTCGTAAAGGAATCCAATCCTGCGGCGCAAAGCAAAGAGGCTCCTTTGAAACTGAAGCCTGTGAGAAACCCTATAATTGTGATTGCATGGAGCCCACGCAACGAAAATGGCATTTATTTTAGGCTGGACAAAGATAACACATCAGGCAACAGTGCACGCAGGGACAAGGAGAGAGTTAACGACAGAAACCATGTATTGGAAAGAGAGAGTGGATGTCCATTACACCGCACACTGCAATCTAAGAGTGAGGCGCTCTATAGCTCCTGCTGCGTGCGCAGAGAATGCGCAGCAGTGAGCAAGCGCCAGCTTACCATGCAATAGTTCACCACACGCCACTGTAATCAAATGAGTGGCAAAAACCAATATATACAGTTTATTCAACTTAACGTGTTGTCGAAAGTCTAGTTCCTTTGGGCTACACAGATATTTCGTTAATTCAAACGAGTAGTTTGTTAGACGAACAAATTTAATTTTGTTGCTTTCCGTGTTTTATGTACTCAATAAAATATTTTGTTGGGACAACTAAATATATTTTTTTGCCCTATAGGAACAACTATTCTGTTGGTAAAGTTCGCAGGCTTTCACTGCCATTGTCTGCAAAATATTGGCTTCTGGGTAGCAGCTGCGTCACTGAGGTAGCAGTAGCGATAACAGTTCGTCCTGAAGATGGAGGCTGCAGTGTCTTCCGAAACGTCGGGGAAGAAACCTACAGTGACGCTGCTGCTACCCAGAAGCCAATATTTTGTAACTATTTTGTTGGCTTGTGTCTCAGTGCACCTATTTATAAAAATAACCCCCCTAAGCACAAGATG